CAGAAATGGGTTTTGAATTCCAAAAGAATTGATTTAATATACTTCGCATTTTATTAATAATAGGAGATGCTGCATGGTTTAAACATTTGGGCTGATGGTCTGAGGAGCATGAGGAATGTGAAAAATTAAAAGAAACGCAAACAAGTAGGATTAATGAACAAAGCCTGAGATTCTTACCCTAGAATAACTCTTCCTGTTTTGGTCTATTTAAGCCCAATACAACTACGATTAAACTGCTGTAATTCAGTTAAACTTCTAGGTATGTGAAACCATTCTCAGAAGTGCTTGGAAGCAGACATCTTTCCTTTAGGCTTGGTGGAATGACCTTTTTCAAAATTTACGCTGTATGCAGCAACACTCGTGTCTTGCTGCTTACCAAATCTCATTAACTACTTTGTTTAGGTTTTCAGGCAGTTGTGTAGGCAAGTGTCACATGGATCTGCAGTTGGCTGTTGCTGGGCCTTTGAAGTTGGTTATCAGGCAGCAATTGTGGGGGAGTTTTGGCTTCAGGTAGCCATAAAGGATCCCAACCTAAAACTTTTTTTTTTAAATACTAATGTAACTTTAGTTACCAAAAAGTTACTGTCAGATGGCAAAACCTGATGTGATAGGTTCTCAGGTGGAGCATTTTCCATTCAATATTGGTTCATAGAAATGGTTACCAGAAATAGTGTAGGCAGATAAAAGTTTTTAACTAATTTTCCTTAAAGGGCTGCAAAATTTCTGCTTTCCTGCTAATATTTTTTGTGTTGCCATTCACCTTTACAGCCAACATTGCACTGATACATAGAGAAAAGTAGCTGACTGGTTTGATGGAAGAAGAAAGATTTTAAGATTTTATTCTTCAGGTATTTAAAGAACTGCTTTGTTCCACAACCTTGAGTAGGCTGTTGAACAAAGTAGAAATAATTACTGGGATATTCTACTGTTTAGTAGAAAAAATTACTGGGAAAATGCTTTTCAAAATTTCCTACTGCTATGACATGCAATAAATTCTCTCAGTTATGGAGGTCATCGTTTGGGTCAAAGTTCTATTTCTATGTAATAATAAATATAGGAGGAGGAAATGTTTTTTTCCAAACCTGGATCCTGTTTTCCACTTCTAAATAATAGCCAAGGTTTTGCTGGGGACAAATAAGTCTGTTTCTCTTTGTATTTAATTATAGGAGAAATAATTTCAAGCAACCCCTTTAAAGTGGCAGTCTGAATATTCTTTACTTACTGTTGTTGTTACAGGTATATTATCTGATATGATTATTAGTCCCCTAAAATGTGAAAGTGTGAAGTTCACTTGGTACATTTAACAACTTACTGGTCACTTCGAAGTTTCCACTTTATAATGTTTTCTCTTTCTATGCATCTTTTACACAGCTCCAAGGGAAAAAAAATAGTCTTAAAAAATAAATGCAACTATTACACTACACACTAAGGAAAGAGCTAAACAGGAAGGGCTAATGAGGGAAAGGGGTTCTTACAGCAAGTGTAGTAAGTGAACTGACTTCTCACCCTTGAATTTTGACAAGATTACATTGAATGTCTATATGAAAAATGGTGGTCTGCTTAGTCCCCTTCAGTGCCAGCTCTTTTAAAAGTCATGGTGAGCTACCACATTGAAGACATTTAGACTGTCCTCTTCACACCCACATTTGAGCTGCGCTTTTCCTTCCCATTTCCAGTGATTCCTGTTCCTTCACCAGCCTTAAATGTCACCAAACGGGGACCCCAAACAGTCCACGCAGAACCCTTCTGTCACCCCCTCTCTCTCAGCTTGTCCAATATGATTAATGTGACCTCGCTGTCCATGAGGTGTAGCCAGACAACGTTGCCCTGTGCCTCATCTATGTATACGTTTTTGGAGGATCCCAGGACTCATGACAAGAACGCAGTTCCAGTCATGACTGAGGGGCTAATTAGCACATGGATCATATGGGGTTAGGGGAAATCTGGATCTCACACACACACACACACGCACACACACACGCACACACACACGCACACACACACGCACACACACACGCACACACACACGCACACACACACGCACACACACACGCACACACACACGCACACACACACGCACACACACACGCACACACACACACACACTGAGCAGTGCTGAGCTGTAGGGTCACCATGGCTTGAAATGTTGTTGCCTCTAGGGCCCAGCCCAAATAACTAAATGGTAAATCATGAGTAGGGAAATATGGCATGGCTTTTGCCTCCCAGCTGGTCAACAACAAGCAGCAAGGCTGCTGGGGCCCCTTGGCTAATCAGCACCTTGAGGCAAAAACCATGTCATATTTAAAAACATGGTTTTCGCCTCCCTGCCATTCAAAAGTGAGCAGTGGGGGCCCCCACCAATCAACAGCAGGGGGGCATGCGGGGGAAACTGCAGAATTAAAGGAGTTGCTGTGCACTTGCATGACGTTTTTGGTAGGTCCGTAATTGAGCCTTTTGGCTTCAGTCTGTATTATATATTAGTTTGTACTATGTACAAGTAGGTACAGGCGTGCTGCTTAAAAGTGTGTTCATAGAGTACCTGTGCTAAAACTAGGTCTGTGAGTACACAGGCATGTTTATTTCATGGACAGCATTTTCAAATTTGTCCGTTACTTCAGTGTGCTTATGGAGATCAGGGTCTAACAGTAGGGTAGGGGGGAAAGGGTCTGCAGAGAGAAGTGAGGGGCAAGGGTTAAGGGGGTCCCTCCCCCAGATTTATTTCCCCTGCTGTAGCATTGGAAGGGGAACAAATTCAAGACATCTCAATAAATAGATTCTATACCTGGAACATTTTAACAAATGTTATACATTTTCTATATATAGAATCTAATTATTGGGGGTGGAGGTTTATCTTATATTTAGGGTCATCTTGTATTCGAGTAAATAAAATACTAATAAATAGTAAAGGCAGAAATGTAAAATATCTGTGTTTGAATCAACAGTGAAGTCTTAAATATCGGCACCTTCGATACTGGAATCTAATTTCAGTCATGTCACTTACATAACACCCTGTTGTACTGGTTCTCAATTTTGTTAGACCCTCTCTGAAAATTTAATCTCTTAGCTTTCACTTGGTTTTTTGACTTGAAAAATAATAGAGCAATTTGTTACAAAGAGCTCAAATTCCACAACAGGTCAGAATGTTTTTTATACTGTTTCTTGACAGTGTTTTTGGACTTTTTTTATCTGGTTTTCTTGCCAGTGGTATAGGTGTTCACACACTGCATCACCCTTAAAAGGATCTGACAGCACCCCAGGGTGTTATCTCACCCTAGTTAAGAATCACTGCCCTATCAAGAAACATTTTGCATAGGGTAGCATTAGAATATTCGTGTTCAAAACTGAAGTGCTACTTGTAGTATTGAAGTAACATTGTTTTTGATTCTTAGGACTAATTACATATAAAGTTTACAAAGTAAGACAAAATGGTATGTTAGTGTCAGGATCTGTAAAGTTTAATGGTGTAACAGAAATACGGAGATGATTGCATTAGGTGAATTCAGATGCCACTTGACAAAACTTGCTTGGCACTGATAAGACTTGCACATGATTGGTCATGTTGCTCTTTCAAATCTACTTTATTATTCAGTTGTTCAGATGCTGCTGAATTATGAGGAACTCTTAAAGATTTGTGAGCAGAGCATTTCTTTTAATTAGGTGACTTTCTGCAGCTGAACTTGATCACTTAAACATTGCTCTTGTTCCACTAAAACCACAAAATGTAAATTCTTAGCTTTTAATCCTCATTTTGTACTATTGAGTTTAGGACTGTCTAGAAAATGTTGGCATATTGTAGGTAGGATTTGCAGTGTATGTGGAATGCTACTAAAGTGCTGTCTTGTGCAGAATCAACTGTATATAGCTTTGTTTGTGTTAAATGTAGGGAACGAACTGTGTCCTTCATTCCTTGTCTCTGTAGTGTTCTAGCAAGGATTGTAAATGAAGGGGAATGGCAGTAACTGTGGGAAACAGTTGGTCTGACAATAAAGCTTTGTGCTTCCTGAAGGTCTGACAGAATGACATTACAATTTCAAATGCCACACTATAGTTCTGGAATTCAGCTGCAAGCTTTAGGAGCAACACAACCTGAATTTCCCTCTGACGCGGGCTACTTTTCATATCCCATTTAAAAGCACTGTGTGTTTTTTTTGGTTTTGTTCATATTCTCCTAATACCAATGCAGAATGATGTTTTGAATCAAGGAGCCTGTTTCAGTAGCAGGTGGAAATGTTGTGTTCTAAGCTGTTGTGACAGTACATTTTAAAATCTGAGTATTTCTTTTAGTTAAGAATATACTACCATTTAGCGCGCACTGCTTTGCTTAATTTTATGTTCGGAATACAAGCATTGTAAATGACACTTTGTGAAATATAGTATTATAGAGTTTAGTCTTGAGCCTGTAGTGGTAGTCCTAAAGTTCTTTCATATGCTTAGGGCCAAAAGCTAATGTTATACATTATAAAGCTGAGGATATCTATTTTCCAATAATAATCCACTCAATATTGGACTTAAAATCATATCATTCTCTTACCTGGCTTCTCCTTGTAGTTTTGGCATGGCTGACAGCTTAAGAATCACTAATTACTTAAATCTGGGCTGTGTATTAATTATTTTAAATCTTCAGTGTAAAAAGCACATTCCTTGAACTCAAGCATTTAAAAGATACTAATAGTAGGTATTAGTCCATTCTAGCTTGTGAAATATCCTGCATAAACTACAGTAGAATAAAAGTGGGTTTGGAAAAAAAAAATCCAGTGAGCAAAATTACACTAATATTATGATCTCCTAAGATCAAGAATATGTTGATGAGTAGATGGTTGCAGGTATTTCAAGTCATGTGTTTGGGTGCTATGATCCGGGACTGCTAATCAGAAAAGGGTGAGGGAACCTAAACCTCTTATTCTTTGGGTGGTGGAAGTGAAGGGGTAATGCCTGAAAAATGAAATTGAAAGAGAAATAATTCTGATTTTTTTAAATTATTATTATTATTATTAATGCAGGAAACCACTCCCAACCCTCAAACTTCAGAAGAAGAGAAAACTGAGACAGCACCTACTCAGGAGGTTGCCAGTCCTGAACAGTATATTAAGCATCCACTACAAAACAGGTGAGTACTGTTCTTCTGCCACTAGACTTTGTGATTCTATAGGCAAGTATTTCATCATAATTCTCATAATTTTGTTTTAATACCATGTATTTCACAAAGAAAAGTGTTGCATTTAAAGGTGCACTGATGCATCGGCCCAATATTGCATTGGCAGTGATACAAAGAAGATTGACTATATCAGAAATCAGCATTTGTTGCCTAATGTGGCCGATAGTTTGGCCGATTAAATGCCTTGAACATACACGTAGCCACACGCAGGACGTAGGCAGCAAGGAGCACAACCTGGCAGCTTGAAGAATTGCGTCCAGCTGGTAAGTCTGTTGTGGGAGGAGGGGAAGGGGCATGGCAGGGGGTGCAGATTGTGGGAGGGAGTAAGACTGGCGCAGGCTCTGCCGAGCTGGGGTGGGACACAGGACGGAGCCACGGCTCGTCCGGGGGGGAGGGGGGGGCGCCCCCCGCCACTGTGCACACGCCACGTGGGCATGGAAGGAGTGTGACCCCTGGCTCTGTGCACAGGGTGAAGACAAACAGCCGCTGCAGGCTGGGGCCAGGTCTGTGCCAGGCTCGTCCTGGTGGGGGCTGGGCCGGGCTGCGCTCGGGGCAGACCGTGCGGGGGGGCCTACAGCAAATTTTGGGGTGACTGCAGCTCCTCCCGTAGCCTCCTTCCCAGCGCCACCACCCGCCCCAAGCGCAGCCTGGCCCAGCCCTTGCTGAGAAGGGCCCTGCGAAAACCTGACTCAAGCCCGCAGCAGCAACTTGGACACGCCCTGCACAGATCCAGAGGGCACGTGTCCCCCATGCCCTCTGGGGGTGCATCCAGCAGCAGGAGCCACCGCCCCTCTCTCCCCCTATCCCCCAGACAAGCCGCAGCTCCATCCTGTGCCCCACCCTGTTCCGGCTGAGCAGGGCCTGCCCCAGCCCCGCTCCCTCCCTCACCGCGGGGGCCTCAATCTGCTTCACCCCCTCCCACCCCCCCCACACACAAAGACATGTCAGCAGGACACTGCTCTTCAAGCTGTGTATCAGAAATCTGATCAGTATCGGCAGATATGCCTCCTTAAAAAGCGGCTATTGGTATCGGCCCCAAAAATCTCTATTGGAGCACCCCTAGTTGCATTAATTTTTCTGTGTCAGTCTTTTTCCGAGACCTCACCTAATTTAGTATCTATTCATAGGAAAAGATAGAGAAGAAACCACATTTAATCAAGATTAATTATGTGGGTAGTGTCCCTGAGACTACTAGCTTTTTCAGCAGAATTTGATAGTTTCAGAAAACTCCAGTGGCTATTTTCTTAGAATTTTCCACCACTGTAAAGCAAAATGGAAATCTAAGGAATAGGTGAATAACATGGCAGTTATTACCATTTAACTGTTACTGGACGTGATTACAACTGATCTAAAATATTGAGTTCACTAGATTACTTATGAAAAAGGCAATTTTTGTCAAACCATTAAGCGTATGGTGAGAACTTTAAGTATAGTTGAGGGTGGGCTTTTTTTTTTTTGTTTCTTTGTTCTTTTATTTTTCAGCATATAAAGCTAAAGAGCTGTTTGCAGATCAGACTGTTGGGTGCTCTTTGTCACTTTTTTGATTGAGCTCTGTAGAGAATGAAGAAACTGTCCAAGGGACAGACATTCTCTAACTTAAACTTAGGCTAACCTTTTTGCGGTGGAAGTATTAAGCTTAGAGACTAAATGTCTTTAAATGTTAGATACAATTTTCTGTCAACTACAATTACAGAAACTACACTTGTTTTTGCAAATTATAAGTTGCAACGCATTAAAGAATACTGATTTTTATCTTTGTTCAGCATTCATTAGTAATCTGCAGACATTGTTTGTTCTTGGGCTAAAACTAGTACCAAAACTTTTTCTGTAGCTTTGGGCAAGAACTAGGAATAGAATGACGTCTTGAATAATATCCTCCTTTTCTTTCCCTCTGATAATTCCAGCTGGTACTGTATTTCTGAAGTTATGTTCTGTCAAGATGTGTTAAGGAAAGTATTTCCCATAAGAGATTTTACACTTTTAAATCTCAAGGGTAGTTTAAAGAGAATTTCTGAGAGCAATAATGGGTTTTCTATTAAGCTTCCATCAGGATCCATCTGAAAAGCCATGTAGGCGAAGGGACAAAGAGCTAAAAGTATAGAAGTATTCCTAACTTGTCAAGTTATCAGTCTTTCACAAACTATAACCAAGAGTTTACTTACACATACCAGACTATTAGTTTATCAGTAGTTGCAAGCAAAAACCTCTCTTCTTAAGTTGATGCAAATGGTCATTACCACTTAAAGCCTTTTAAATAGCTGTGCAAAAATTGATCAGCTAAGTCTCCCTTCCATTTAAGGTGCAAATGCTTTTTTTTACTGGCCCAAGGTCCAGAATTGGAACCCAGATGTCTGTCTTAAGAATTTCTCCCAACAACCTGGGCCCTGGAGCAGATTTTCATGCTGTTATTTCAATGGCAGGGTCTAATCTTGTCTGGAATTGCTAACTGGATAATTGTCAGTCCTTTTCAGCACTGAATTTTATTTTTAATGTATAGCATATAATTTTTTTAGATGGGCCCTCTGGTTCTTTAAAAATGACAAAAGCAAAACCTGGCAAGCAAACCTTCGTCTGATTTCAAAGTTTGATACTGTTGAAGATTTCTGGGCGTAAGTAAAGTGTTCAATTTCTTTTTTTTTCTTTAAATCTATGTAGTAATCCATAGCATATTGGAATTGTGTACATGCTTCTACTACCATAAATGTTAGCATCTGGAGTGCAAGTTCAAATCTATTTCAGGGGCTTAAGGGAAAGTCCATTTCATTTTTCCAAATGAACTTTTGAAACATGTCACTTGGAGGTAAATAATTTATTTATGGGTTTTTCTGTATTCTAAATATCAATTTATATTGCCACTTGTACTGGTGGTGATGTAATTGTACATTTATTTAGATTAAGCAGGTGGTTTCTTGTTTTTTGGCTCTCAGTCTGCTCTTGCTATGTATAGGGTTTAAATGGGTAGACTAAACTGTGTAGTCATACAACTCAGTTGACGAAGTAACTCTGGTATGCAAAGGCCATAACACTGTTCTGTCTTCTGTCTGGAAATTTGAGATTAAAAATGTTGGTTCCCGTCCTTTGATACTTCATGGAGACCTGTATTCAGAGTGTAGGTGCTTGACGCTTCCAAACATCAGTCTTAAAGTGCATCAAGTTAAACACTTAGTCAGTATTTTCGGAAATTATTTAAAACTATGCTATTTAAAAAAAACAAACAACTTTCTCTTGGAAAATAGCTTTCTCATTTATTAGCCAGGTTGCCCAAGTAAATTGTGTAGACGATAGATAAATTACTGGAATATGAGCGAACTGCAGAAACAAGTTAAAGCTGTTCTGAAATAAAAGCTCTTATTTGAACAAAGATGGCACTAAGGAGACTGGTATATGCCCATGTTAGATTGGAAAGTTAGAGACTTTAACAAAGCCTATAACTTTCCCAGTAAATTCTTAGTCCTCTTACTCTTGTAAACATTCCAGAGCATATCATTCTTCAACACAACTGATATGAGAGTCTTGTGAGACTTGAGCAGAGTAACCTTTACACAACTGAAAATTAGAAGGAACTGCTGTCCCTACTCCCCCTTCCCCTCCCCCCTGCAGTTAGGAGCCAATTTCAAATATTACATTGGTCATAGGAATGAAGTTTGAATAGTGTTGCTTTCCTAGTTCTTGTTTTAATGAATTTAACATTTTGGTTTTCCAAGTTTTGCAGGTTGTGTTACTAGAGGAGGGAAGCAGAAGAGTCGGTTAGAAAAGGAGTCGTGCTGTTTGTTTAGCTTTTCTTTAAACACCGGCTAGCTACCTTCTTCTGTGTAGTAAAATCAGGATTTTGTTACATGCAGCTCTCTATATATGAGAGGTAGGGAAATCTGGATGTGGCAACTTGAATACTTTTATTGGTATGGATGTAGGCTACCAATAGATGTAATAAAAATTGACATGCTAGAGAGAATGGCTCTGGACAAATATACTATTCATGCTGTCCACATGGGAAAACTTGATGTCCCAGGGGATCTTTCTGTAGAGTTCTGTTCAAGCAGCCAGCATTGGCATTTGCTCCATAGGGTTAGTCTAAGGGTGATGAGTTTTGATCCTGAATACTTTAGATGTGGGGTGTGAATCAGTTGTGAGTTTTTGCTTTCCAGCTACTGCTTGATGAGCAAAGGAAGACCCAGTTCCACTAGTCCCATCCTTGTTTGGGAAGCTGGTAGATGGAGATCTAGTATTCTGATTTTTTGTTTGTTTGTTTGTTTGGGGGTTTTTTTGCATACATGGGCCTCATGGGCTGTGCCCAGTCTGTCTGTGCGCCAGATCCTGCCAGCTGGCTTGATCCAGCACATGAGACTTGGATACAGTCATGCAGGAGGAGGCAGCTTGGCCAAAATGCACCAAGTGAGGAGGCAGGGGCAGCAGCAGCAGCTTGGCCCCAATCCAGTTGTGTGGAGCTTGGGAAATTAACAGCAGTGAGGTGGCAGGGGTGGCAGTATTGATTGCCACTGCTCTCTGCTGCCAAATTTTCCAACACATGGGGAGCCCTGCAGGCTGTATGCCGTGGCTCTGTGGGCTAGGGGTTAAATATTGCTGCTCTAAATACATGGTTCTTAGCTAATCTGTCTGCTAAGAAGTAAGCCTGAGTTTGCTTGTTACCAGGATCTGAGTGGATAACTGAATAGAACACTTGCTAGCTTAGGTGTCTCTAGTTAGGAATTGGATACAGCAGTAGTTTAAACCATTTTGGCTTTTTTCACCCAGTCAGTGAAACTGTTCACATTAGATGGTGTTTTTTTAGAGATGCTACTGAAATAAAGGTCCAGTTGAATTTTATTGTATTCTCTTGCCTTGCATTAACTGGATTGTTCTTTAAAACAATTGCTGGTCCTTTATTTTAGCAGTCCTTTTTTGGCATCTGGTCTGGAACTGCAATTTTTTGTCAGTCCTATTCTAAGCTCTGCACTTAATCCAACAGCAGAGGTTGTAGAGTAAGGGCAGGGCATGCAGCCGTGTGGAGAACTGCTCCAGGCCTGGGATATTGCAGCGGTGACAGCATGGTCTGGAGCCAGGGCAGAGCTGCAAGTCTGCTCTCCGAGCCCTGGAGCAGCTCCATGCCCAGCTGCTTGCCCTCCCAGTGCTGCTGGGGCCAGTCTCCATAGGAACCCTGGCCCTGCACTGTCACAGAGTTGCTGCTACTGGAGTCTCCATGGAAACCAGTGTCAATGATGCAGGTAAGGGCTGCTGGGAAATGGAGTCTGGCCACCAGCTGGAGCCTCTATTTTGCCCACCCCTGTTGTAGCGGCAGCATTTCTTCCCAGTTCAGAGTACTCTAAGCCCACTGTCACAGTGTTCTTTCTCAGTTTTCAAATTTTTTTTTCCTGCGCATTGCTCAGTGGTGAACTTACTTTTGGCACAGTATATGCTTTTTATGGCATTTCATAATCTTGAACTCTTGTCGCTCTTCCAGCCTTATTTGGATCTCACATACTCTGCCTACAGCATTGAAGCTGAAAATAATTATATTAGATGTGATAAGGTGGAATAAGTCTCTTAAAACAATGCTTCTGAGCAGAAAAGCCACAACAATCTTATCCTTTTATCTTTTTATTACACTAAACAAAACATTTATTTATTTGGTGGCTTATCCTGAATGTTTACATGATGAATTTATGAAATGTCAGGTGAAATTACCTTAAATCAAAATTTGGTGAAATTATGATAGTATTCCTGAAAACTGAATTGGGGAAATTGACATTATATAATCAGTTTCTCCCCTGCTGCTCTAGAGTTTCAAATTCTTCAGAGAACATGAATTGTTTCTATTCTTCTAAAAAATTAGGGTAGCATCAAAAAACTTTTAAAAATAAAGTTCAACCTCAGTTCAGTTTGACATGATTGGAAAAAAATGTTTATTTCATGCTAATCGTATCGTAAAGATAAGTTTTCTTCAACTTTTCAGGAAAGGGTGTATCTTAAAATTCTGCTTAGCATTTTTAATTCATTTTATCTTATTGCTTTGTTTTTCTTTTTGTTTTAAATAGTTTATACAACCATATCCAGCTGTCTAGTAATTTAATGCCTGGTTGTGACTACTCACTCTTTAAGGTATGCCAGTCACCTTTTTTTTTTTCTTTATATGTAAATGACAATTTCAGACAAATGTATTATTTCATAATTCAGACATCATAGCCAATTTTTTTTCAGAAGTGACTGGTGATAATGGAAGTCAATCTGGGAGTGTCTTAAACAGTCTGAGTTTGAGACAGTGCTGAAAAGAGCACTTCACTTTGAAGTTCATGCTGGGTACTCAGCAATTCTGAAAACTTTGGCTCATGACCCTTCTGGTAGACTTAAACTCATCCCCTTGTATTAGTGCTTGCATTGTAACATCTTTACAAGGTATGTGTTAAAATACTTGATAGGCTTCAATGGTTTTTCACAGTAGAAAAGATCTTCAATTCTGGGAGGCATGAAAGACCATTCTGGGAGGCACTAAAAAGGAAATGTTGTTTTAGCTTTGAGCTCCTCCAATAAAAAAAAAAAATTCTGGGCTCCTGTTTTCCTCATATAGGTTCACTTAACACCAGATCCATGAAGGGGCTCTGAGAATAAATATAATCCCAAATTAGGTTCCATTGGTAATGCACAGGGTAAACTAGATACTGAGCAATGGGATTGACAGTAGCCAATAAGAGATGCTGAAGAGAAGGGTGTGTCTGAAATCACACCCCTCAATTTAGGTATCTGTGTGAACTTTCAATTTATGACCTGGAATTTCTTCCTGCACTCAAGGCACCTACGTTGTCCTTTTGGGTAGAGACAGCTAGCATACCTTTCAGTCATTTGATTGTCCTTCCTCCATTCAGTCCCGCATGCTCCCCTGAGCATCTGCCTGCCTTGTTTGTGAATTCTAAATGGCTTCTGGACATCTGATGGGTCCTGTAATGCTCACTTGTGATAATTATTCTAGGCATACACAGTAATAGCAGCATTCTCGGGAACCTTAGCAATGAAAATGTAGCTTTTTACACACTTAAGAGGTTTGGGTTGGGAGCGGTGGGATTAGTTTTATGGTTCTTGCCCTTTCACATGTCTGACTTTTGTCTAGGTTCTCTTTTGGGTCTGGTCCTTAGTGTTTATGAAAAGTATCAGTTAATCATTTTCTGTGAATGTGCAACAGGTACAAAACTGGCAACCACACTGCACACTTTCTTGTATTATCAGGCGTGTCCTTAAGTCTTGACCTAAAGGATTTGCCTGTAAAGGTGATGAAGTAGTGTGACCTCTATAGCTGTCAATTAGCATGCCAAATGTGGAGAAATGAAATGACACCACTAGCTCCCTTTATTGCTGCACACTTCATCAGCTTTCCTCTAGATTTGTATAAAGCAGAGATAATCAAGTGGCCTTCTCTGAAGTTACTAATAGAGGCATTTTTCTTCTTCCTGTTGATTGGGTGTTTTCAGTCATGCCTCTTTTAATGACTGATTTTAAATAACACTTCGTAGTCAGCATAGATGTGAGAGTGATTTCTGGCTCAGAGCAGTAAGCATCACTAAGTTTCAGTGCAAAGCCTTTTCTTTGTGCATTAGAAAGAACACATTTTGTCTTTTAAATGGTAGATTGATTTTGTTTTTTCACATGGCTGATAGGTTCAGGTTTCTTTATTCTTGGTTCAGCAAAACAGATGTTCTTTATGCCATTTTATGAAGTCACCTTTTGATGAGAGAAATTCCCATTTTGGACCTGCCTAAATTAAAGCACAGAAGCTAATTGATCTGACCAAAGATGCACCAGATGTCAGTGGTAAAACTGGGACTGCATCTCGAGAGCTTTTGTCCTAACTAGTGGTTATTTTGCCTGGCTTCATGCAGGTCAGAACAGATGTCTAACCTGAGCTGTGTCTGAATCAATTATCTGTGGAACATTTGTAGACAAAACTAGTTGAATTTAGTTCCTAAACTTCCCAGTTGCTTAACTTGAAATTGGTGGTGGCAGTGGTGGAAATATTTTGTGTATTTATCTGTGATACCATGATATTCTGCGGGACAATTCACTGCTATTTTTCAAATTCTCTATCAAGGCGGGTTAACTCAGACAACTGTAAATTTAGTTTCTATATTGCTGCTTAAATACTTTTCCCCTCCTTTTGTTTGGGCTTGTAATTAAACAGAAAATCCCTTGTATTTGTTTTTTAATTTCTAATTATACTTTATAGGATGGAATCGAACCAATGTGGGAAGATGAAAAAAACAAGCGAGGAGGACGGTGGCTAATTACACTAAATAAACAGCAGAGACGAAGTGACCTTGATCGCTTCTGGCTAGAGACAGTAAGCTCTGTGGCATTGTATCTTGCAACTAAACAATCATGTTTTATTTTTAATGTCTAATTAATGGGGTTTCCATTTCCAGTCTATAGCAAACTAAAAAATATTCTTTGGAAGATCTTGCCTGACTATATTTTTTTTGTCATACAGAACATGGATTGTATTGAAACATGAGATTTGAAATCCAAAGCATCTGTAAGCTTGTGCAGTGTCCCGTAATCAAGTGAATGAATAGGTGTCTTCTACTCCTAAGGGTATTTGGCATAACCTTACAGCCACTGGTGGTGTTGTATGTGTCCCTAACACTGTAATACAGTTATATTTCTATCCTAAGTAAATGGTTCTTATTTACAATTGGAAAAGCCTTCTTAGCAAGAGACCTCCAGACTTTATTTATATTTTGAATACAGTATTATAAACAAGAAGAAATTCTCAAATACTAACCATTGTGGCTTAAAGTTAAGAGTGTGTTATGCTATCCATCTATGTAATAGTTTTCCTGATCAAGCAGAGCATGTTGCTTTATACATTTTGGCACTCTATCTAATCTTTTGCAAAGAATCTGATTAACCTGGCTGTTTTCAGACCTTTCTTAAACTGAAGATGAAAAGCTATCCTGTTTAAGTTAAACAGCTGAACTCTTCATTTGCTTGCAAATTATTTCATGGGACCTGAACATTGTCTTTTTTCTGTGACAGGCATAGCGCTCTAAAACACATTAGCCAAGAATCTCTAGGAATATAGAAGCCAGGTATCTCCAGTTAAAATTTCAAAGACTATTTTTCAGGAGGAGATAAAAACCTGGAGAGAGGGAAATGGAATCTCTTTCCACAATGCATTTAAGAGTATTATAATGATCTAGCACTGTTTACAAGTACAGGCAGACTGGGTGGCTATTGAATTCATGGTGGAAGTGGGATGCACTGCAGCTCCTTTAATCTTGCAGGTTCCCTTGCACCCCTATCCCCCCGATTGGTGGAGGGGCCCCACTTGTGGCTCACTCATAATTGTCGGGAAGGTGAAAACTGCGGTTTTAAATAAATATAGCGCTGTTTTTGTCTCCTGCTGCTGATTGGCTATGGAGCCTCAGCAGCCTCACTCCTTGCTGCTGACTGGTGGGGAGGCATAAATGGTGCCCTGTTTAAAACAGCTGTTTTTGCTTCCCTGCTGCTGAGGAGAGAGCAGCAGGGCTCCTCCACCAATCAACAGTCAGGGGGGAGGGGTGTATGGGGGAACATGCAAAATAAAAGGAGCCTACTTCCATCATGAATTCAGTAGGTCCCTATACATTAGGGAGCAGTGTCATCCTCATTCAGTAATTTTTCACAATCTGCTTGCTGAACCAAATCAAAACCCTTTCCTCATTCTTCAGCACTCCAGACATTAGTCCATAAAGTCTTCTGCTCCAAACTTGGGTAATCTAACTGCATACTATTTGACTGAAAAGATCTGAAACTGGTATTTATTTCAGTTTTTGTCTTAATTGCACTGTCTTAAGCATCCATGTAGCATGCTTATCTTTGCACAGTGCTTCTAGTTAGTAAACAGCATTTTAAACAACAACTTTTTATTACCTGATTCTGTAAAGCTATGGCATTGGTTAAACACTGATACTTGAAATGTCTTGTCTGGAATAAGCCTCACAGGCTATTGCTTTTGGTACAGGTTTCCCTCACTTTATGTGGGTTCTGTAAGTGCGAATTCGCTCTTATGTGGTGACTCTTTTATACCAAACATTGGTTATATGGGAGGTAAATTCACTCTTATGCAAGCAGTGTGGTGGAAGCCTACAGTCAGCTGCTTTGTGCGGTGCGTTGTGGAAGTGATGCACATCAAAATATAGTCTCCTTTGTGGATCTATCCTCCTTGCTTGTTGTCTGTGACACGTGTTTCTGTAGCTGCCATCCCCCTTACAGCTTCTAAGTGTCCCGCTAGCTTATGTCCTACCCCTCTCCCTGGTCCATCAGTGAATTTTTCACCACCCTCTCTTCACACCAACTAAATATTCACCACCACCCTGTGCTTGTGTATACTGTCTGTTGTTGGTGAGCACCAAAATTGTTTTGTAAAAGTGGTAGAAATGGTTCTGGGGGTCAGTACAGTCAAGGTCTTGGAATGTATACCTATTTGTTACATTGTAAAGTGGGTTCCCTTTATGTGAATTTGAGTTATGCATTGTTTTCCAGGAACGCATGTACCGCATAAAGCGAGGGAAACCTGTACTTGAGTAAATATAATGCACATACCCTGTAGTTTTATAGATCTATTATAAAAATTTGGTTCATTCACTAGTGCACTGTGATCATGTTATTTCTTTAGCCAAGTTAATATTTGTAGCTCTCAGCAAAGTCTTAAAACTTTAGTGCTGCTTGGAGTTTGATTTTTGGGTTTGATTTTTTTTTTTTTTTAACTTTAAACATGATTTAGAAAACTTAAGGTAATGGCAGCATATAACACTTCAGCTGTTTATTTATGGGGATGTATTCTGTATGGATGAATTTCTCTCCAATCTGTCATTATAAGAGTCTTGTTTGGTGGACTGCTGCACTTAGCACTTGGCTAGATGCACACCAAGAACAGCAAAAGGAAGTGTTAACTTTCTTTGGTTAGTTTTCTGTTTTTGTCGGAAATTGTACCATTTGCAAAGCATGTGCTCATCAGCTAGACACTGCGTTGGTTGTTTGGAAACACTATTTTTATAATTTCCTCATGGTTTCACAAGTCAGTGCCAAAGCCATTAGTAGCATATCTCATATTCCTAGTCCAGAGGAAGAGATTTAGCTCTGCATCCCACCCTTTTCTGGGGGCAGAAAGTCATTCTCATTGGTCCATTATAACAAGTATACTTTGTGTGATTTTTGCTTTGTGTGCGCAAGTATGTTACAAGTTGCCTCAGTGAATCTGTGTACAGTTTGTTGAAGTGCAAGACCCTCTTGCTGCTTGAGTTCGCAGAGGAGGCATGTTGGGGCCCTAGGAAATGAATATACTGTTCTTGCCTCTAGTAACTGCATAGCAACCCTTGGAAACTTACCATGTTGCTTAATGTAAACTGCTTTCTGTACAATATGATGTATGCCTGAGGGCTACCAAGGAACAAGCAAGATTCCCAAACACCTAAAAAGGTGAATAGGGAAGAAGAAAGAACACCGTACTTACTAGAGAGGATTGGAAAGATGGTAGGAATTTCATGTTGGCACTCCAGGTAGAGAGAGATGCCCAACAGTGGTTGGGGAGTTAGACAATGTATTTTTGTTGCTAATAGAAGAGATAGTATTTAAAGATTACAGCTTTTAGACCAGTAGACAAATGGAAAAACTCAGAACTCCGAACTTAAAAGAAACTGGGAAGGATCCACTGCTACATAGTTAAATCGGGGGGGTTTTGCTGGTTTTTTTTAACAATCAGGAACAAGGTAGAAAGTATTCTGATAATTAGGAGTGTATGTTGCTTCAGTCTCTGCAAGATGGTTGGATTTCCACACAGGATAAATTTTATATTTAATATTGCTTAACGTAAACCGCTATTTACAGCAGAAGATTCCATTATACAGCAGAATTCTTTGTAATGACTGCTGGTCTTTTAATGGTCACTCTTTTTTAATTTCGTAGCTGCTGTGCCTTATTGGGGAGTCCTTTGATGACTACAGTGATGATGTATGCGGTGCTGTTGTTAATGTTAGAGCTAAGGGTGATAAAATAGCAATATGGACAACTGAATGTGAAAACAAGGATGCTGTTACGCATATAGGGTAAGTCACACTTGCTGTTCAGTGTCCTAGAGAATAATGCTATGGATGTTATATACTTTAAGGTAATGTATTTTAAAGTCAGATAACTTGATAGAAGATGTACTAATTATCTGCATTTGGAAATTGTGGAGTATACTTGAATAATGATGTTTTGACAAAAGTCTTAAAGTGACACTGCACCTACTGTCTCGAGCAGTTACAGAGTACTAATCTTGCATGTCTGTGAAATACATACAGTAGTTAATCTAAGCAGCTTTATAAAGTAGAAATAGCAGTTTGAGGAATGGGACTGCAAATCTGTTACAAAAGCTCCATGAGTTCTTCTGACAGGTATATTTGTAGTTGGGTATTTCAGGTTCTACTGGAACATGCCAGAATGCGGTGAGCAGATGTCCCAGCCCCCATACAATATAATAGCATAATTGCAGGTAGAAAAAAAGTACAATATGGCTTCCTGGGATGTGTGTGTAACACTAGTCTGAAAAGTTGAATACAATCTCTACAGCTATTTGCACATGTTCTTTATACACACGGACCCCCAAAAAGAAGAGCTATTTCTTCCTGCCCCTGGGGCAAGGGGCTGGACTCTATGATCTTCGGAGGTCCCGTCCAGCCCTAATGTCTGTGAAATCCATGAAATTTGTATGGTTCAGAGGTTTTGGTGAGGGATATGAAGTCACTTTGCTAGGCAACATATGTGACAGCGGATTGGCAACTGAAGTGAAAGCAAGGATGAATAGTATTGGGCCTGAAGACTCCCTTTTAGGTAATTATGCTAGATGTCCTCAGCTAACTAGCAAATGTTGCTACAGTGGGTGGAATTTTTATCACATCAATTTTAAATGTAAATAACTCATCTTGCAGTTTATAGCTTTGTTCTAACTCAAAACCCCTTAATTTTGTGTGTTCTCTTCTGAAAAGAGAATTACAATTGTAACACTTTCTCTTGAGTTAAGTCATTGGGAGGACTTGCCCTTAGGACTCAGTTCAGATTGAATATTGATTCAAGCCAGTTGAAATTTTGCATGAAAACAGAATTCGCAGTTTCAGCATCATTTCTCCTGAGGTGTAACTGCCGAAAATGTGCTGACAGTACCAAAAGTGCATAGGACAATACTATATGTTATGAAAAGTAAAACTTGGAACTTTTCTGACACAATGTTTTGAAAAAACTTCCTTGACCCATTCTAGTCAACTTGAGGAGAGAATAGTGGTTTCTTTGTTTGTTTTGAATTTTGTTTACTGTTAAAATCAGTCACGGTATCAGCTTGAATGTCTCGGGGATCTGCATTTGTTGTCTTCATGGACAAGTCTTTCCTTTTCTTTGCTAGGTTTTTAACTTCTAGGAGTACACAGTAGCATGTTAGCTTATTTTCCCTGTTGAATGGTTATTACATGTAAAAGAGATTTCATCTGATTTACTTATGGTACAAGTGTTTTATGCTGGCGTAGGCAGTCAGTCACAATATTACTTGCTCTCTAGTGTTGTAGGCAAGTCTTTGGCAGTAGGCACACAGGCTGTGGACAGAAGTTACACACAAATTGGTATAAGTGATCGGAACCCGGTTCAAATCTGTAACACGAGAAGTTCAGTGCACATAAACTGCTTTCAAAATGGCTGAAACCGGTTTAAGATAAACTTGGATGGATGTAGTATCGGACTTAACTGCTTTAGGTTAAATCAGTTTATTGAACTTCTTTCCCAGATCCCTTCCAGATTCAAGCTACCTCACAGTCCCTCAGCATCCCAGGATGCTTTGCACCCCCTCCTACCCCACCGCAGGGTGGCCCAAGCAGTCTGCTTCAGCCAGACGGGGAGACATGCTCTAATGCCCCCTGGCTTTTGGCCTGGGCTAGTGCAGGCATGTGGCTGCATTTCTGAAATCAAAAGTGAATGTCTCTTCACTTGCTTAATGGTTCGATCGCTACAGTGTAGACTAACCTGCAAAGATTGAATCAATTCAGCCTCAGGCTTTTTTGACTGTCTGCACTTAGCCACAGAGTATCAGCTGAACTGTGGTACAGATTCTTTGTTAACCCAGGATATCAAGTGTCAGCTTGTGCTTCTGAATGGTATTGATACAGGAAACTCACAATTCGCGGGTTTGGCGTTCACGGTTTCAAATATTTGCGAATGCTGAACCCACTTCTTAAATACACTTACAGGAGCTTCTCAGGAGCTCCACGCTTAACCGCCGGCCTAGCTTTTTAAAAAGTGAAGATCACACAAGTGGCACCGGCCACAAATATAGATAGAGATTTAACTAAATACCACAGTGATTCTATTTTGGTTTTTTAGGTGACAGCTCTTGTATTCTATTTTGTTTTGTTTTTTATCCAGTAATAGGTTACTACTTTGCTGTTGCTCTGAAAAGACTATATTAAACTAATAGAGAATATTAACTCTAGAGTTAAGAGAATATGGCAAATCAGGATTCCATAAATAATTTTAAATGTCAATTTATGATAGGTTGTACCACAAATATTTCAGAGATCTTCCATTATAAATCTGCAACTGAATCAGTTTGTTCTCTGATCTAGATGGAACGCTCATTGGGCAGATATTATTTCATTCAAATTCTTACTGCCAAGGAACACGCAGGATGTGTTAGTGATTTTTCTGTCTTGGTCAGAGCTGGACCAGCATTCTAGCTCAGTATCTTCTCTTCCAGCCACCAAATCTGTCTGTGGGTTCAATAATTGTTATGCTAAAACTCCAGATTTCATAAAGGAAAGGAAAATAAACTTATATGACAGTGAGTAACTGTATTTATTCTTTGATTAAATGTAAGCTTTTAGCTCCTAAGAATCAGTTTTCCTATCCATTCATTTTATGGTATCAATTCATTACTGAAAAATTGGTCTTCTTTTGTGTTTTCCCAGGAGAGTATACAAGGAAAGATTAGGACTTCCTCCAAAGATAGTGATTGGTTATCAGTCCCATGCAGACACAGCTACTAAGAGCGGCTCCACCACTAAAAATAGGTTTGTTGTTTAAGAAGACACCTTCTGAGTATTCTTTCATAGGAGACTGCGTCAAGCAATCGAGATTTGGGAGCTGAACCAAAGCCTCTTCAAAGCAGAGTGGACTGCATTTAAATTTGATTTCCATCTAAATGTTGCTAAGATTTGTGAGAAGTCTCATTCGCCTTTGTCTTGTACTTCTGTGTTCAATTTTTTTTTCTATTTTGGCTGAAGTAACCATTATTCAATCAAAGAATTTCAGTACACATTATCCCCAGAATCCATAAATGTTTTTCTGGCCCACTCTGTAATAGCTTAGTAGGAACATTACTATTACAAAAACATTTGTTTATCCACAGTATTCAGAAATGAAACTGCATTTCTGTTCCTTGCAGAAAAATTACTTCTGTTTTCCATTTGCCTTGTATGCGGTAACATTTTGCTGGTTTGGAAAGAGTATGGTGCATACAGTTTTCTAGCAATTTTTTTACACAGCATTGTCTTTGCTGTAACCTATGCTGATGGCTGCTAGATTAATTTATTTGTTTCCCTATTTGATAACATTAGTGGTATTTTGATTTCAGTTGTTTTTGCTCATGTAACATTTGGTGAAGAATCTGGGAATATGACAAAGGTGGAATAAACGTTCATTTTGTGCATTCTTTGGTAATTTTTTGTTTTTTTGTAACATCAAAGCTTTGCTACAAATTTATGCATTTCAGTCAAATCAGTGATCTGTTTGTGTGATTTCCTAAGCATAATTGTGGATTTTTTTTAAATGTAACACCATAAAGTACATTCCTTACTAGAAATAGTATGTCTGTTTTTGTATCTTATGCTGTATTTTAACACTTTGTATTACTTAGGTTATTTTGCTTTGGTTAAAAATGGCTCAAGTAGAAAAGCGGTCCCATTCATAATAAGACAGTGTACAAAACTGTAAATAAAATGTGTACAGTGAATTGTCTTTTAGACAACTAGATTTGTCCTTTTATTTCTCCATATCTACAGCAAGTATTTGTACTTCTTGTGACAAGGCAGTCTCTACTGTGGCTTCTATTGTAGTGTATCTTCCAAGAGAGAGTAAGTCTGGAGCTATAGTTTATTACTATGTTTATTAAAAGTTGTAATCAATCTAATAGATGGCATCCTTCTCCAAAATGGAATTACCTTGATATGGCTATTGGTTTTTCTTAAAGGGCAGTTTAACTGATCTTAATGTATTGTGCTGCTTTCTGGTCAGTGTTCATAGAAGTCAAAGTTGAAAGGGGGACAGGATAAAAGTCTGGTTTCAGCAAAGTGCTGAGGTGAATAATTCTGCTTAATGATACAGCTACATTATGAAGTACCAGTAACACACAGTAAAGAGAAATGGCTATAAAGGAGTAAAATATATCAAGAACTAGACAACAGATTGTCTTTTTGCAGGTGTGTGGAAGTCTGCTTTTTGATTGTGGAAGTTGGTTCAGAGAGGGGGAGCTGGAGTTTGGACGTATGAGAAGGGGGAGTGGGCAAAACAGGAGGAAATCAGAGTGTAATGTTTTACAGCCATGTAAAGGTACACCACAACAAGCTCTTTTCTATTTCAAAAGCATGCCATAAATAGCTTAGTGCTGATCAGTGCTGTATTGTTGTATAACAGTATTTTTAAACTTAGCATTTAGGGTTATTTAGATGTAATCCACTAAGTTAATTTGGCTGGGTACAGGGGGTTGAAGAAGGAATTGCAGTTGGTCAGCCCTAAGTTCACACTAATGAGTATTTTGCATTTGCTAAGTTTGAAATCTTATATGAACTATTTAATCAGACTGGGAATTATGCTTGTCCATATTTGCATTTGGCCTTGACAGTACTATTTAGGAAGAAGTTAAACTTGTTTGGCAAGAATTGAGGTCGTAATTGTCCAATTGGACAATTTTTCTTTCAGATGGAAATTCAGAAATTTTTTTTCTCATTAAAATCTCATTTGAAACTCCTATCTTGACTCCTGTTAGTGTTCCTGTGTCAGAAAAAAACTTATTTTTACCAGAATAGATTTCATCTTTAGAGAAATCCTGAGCTGTCAACTCAGTAACATTCTGCTTTTAACTCTGTTAAATAAGGGTGTCTCAAGTGGGGAGAACTAGCCAATCTACTAATGTTACTATGCGACTTAAAAGTTTGCAGTTTTAATAATATTGTACAAATTAAGTGGGCTAATGATGCCATCTTTTATAAAATCCCTCATTCTTAACTAATGTAATTCTTTCTACTTCCCAAACACGTTAGGTATTTTAGTATGTTTTTAAAATTAAGTTTGTTTTTCCTGTCCAGCTTCTCTTATATTAATACCCTTTCCAGAGGGATGTCTATTTTGGTCAAAATTTTAGGTTGACTGTGAACTATAAAAATGCATCACTATGTGGTGTTCTCTCTAACTTAGACATCCTGAAGCCAGCAAAGCATACACTTAGGATATGTTTCTTACTTACAAGTTTTCTAATTGTGTTTTCTTAGTATGGTACATTTGTGGTTTTTGTTATTTTTTTAAAGAAAAAATCAGCTACCGCTGTTTGGAGTACTGGAGCTAGGATTACTAATGTGACAAAGGTAAATTTGAAAATGTAGGTTACTCCTTCACAGAGTATATTGAGGTCTACTAAGAGGTGCTAAAGATGATGTTAGTAGTAGTATTTAAGCTTTTGCCTGTTGAGTTTGATAAAACACATAGTCTCGGGCAGTGACAGCATGCTGCTTATTCAAACATGGTTATATAAAAAGAGAATAGAGTGCATTACAATGAGTACCTTTTTTAAGATGCGGTTTATTGGTTAAATGATATATAACTTTTGATAGGCTTAGTGTCTAAACCAGTGATTCCCACCCTTTTAGATTCAAGGCACCCCTCCATAATTTATGAATTGAGCAGCAACCCATTTAAAGCAAATTTATTAGTGCTTACCTACTGGCCAGAGTGGGAGAGCCTGAGCCTGCCTTTATCTGCTTACTTCCTCACACTTCCTGCAACACCCTTCAAAGGCTCTCATGGCACCCCAGGGTGCCCTGTCACCCTGGTTGAGAATCAGTGCTCTAAGCTATTTCATTAATAGCTCCCATTTTCATAATTTTATTATTTCCTTGTATAGGTTGGTTAGTAAAGTAGATTTTCAAGCAAGGATTATGTTCAGTGAGCTGATGTCTCATTCAACATACTTCTGTTGTTTTGTGAGACAAACTGGTGTCTCAATTGCATTTTTTAGCCTAAATGCAAGACCTCACAGTAGTTATCATGGACTAGAACTTGAATATCTTAGTAGTCATGTTTCAAGATTTTGCTGTGTAGACAAAACCCTTGTAAAGTAACCCTGAGCTACCTTAAGCTTTAACCTGTTCTAGAAACTTTTGTGTTGAAGTCACAGTCGCCTCAAGTGTAGTGTCAGCCCTCCCATATGAATGTTAGCAAGTGCAAGAAACAGCTTTTTCAGCAGCTAGCCCCATACCTTACACTTGATACTAGGAGAAACAAGTGACAATGAATTTAGATAACTCACTTTTTGTTCATGATAGCACGTGAGATTTAGGTGCATACATGCAGGAGTAGTTCCTGTTCCAAAGAGGCTAACTCTTAAAGTACTTTAAAGTATCGTCAGTCTATGCTAACAATTACATTATTTTACAATTTACAGCAATACAGATTTTAAGGTGTTCAATATGCCAGTGGTAATCACAGTGTAAATAACTTGACTGTTTTGAACTAAGGCCTGAGCAGTTGAAAATTGGCATATTTAATTAAAGTAAATCTGTTTCTAATTTTAACAAACCTAAACTACTAGCAGTGAATATAGCAGTTTGTCAGTTCTTAAATTACAAACTCAGTGTAAACGTGATTAAAACCACATGCAAAGTATCTTGGCCTTCATAATGGAATATTTTTGAGAATACAAGTTTGAGGGGGATTGAAACTGGGTAAAAAAATCAATATAAAATTATTCATGAGTGTTGTAACTGTACCTTTGTAGGAAAAAAACCATGAAAGGGGAGAGATGCTGGAGGTAAGTGTCTTGTGAAGTTTCTGAAAGAAATGTATATGGTGTGTTTTTTTTTAATATTAACAGTATTTTAACAAAAGGAAGGGTAGAGCTATGAGGTAAGGAACACTTTGGCTTTTAGGGTAGATTTATTTAAAGTCTGATCCTGTTTGTTCTATACTGAAAAGAGAAAAAAAATATATCCAGTTCCATAACTTGATTTCTGCCTTACCTGTATGCCATAATTTGCAACTTGAAAAGTTTATTTACAATTATTCAGTAATGTTAAATATACCAGAAACAAATGTGCACTGAATTCACTGAAAGCTGCTTATTAAATATAGAAAATTATCTCTACTGATCAAACATCAAAGGATTATTTAGATGAGGTAATACATCATGTCAAACCATTTTTTTTTTTTGTTTTTGTGTGGGGGGTTTTGGTTTGTGTTTTTGTTAAGGATAAAATTCTAAAACTTGTGGGAGCTTGGTCTTTGAGGATGCAGACAGAATTGCAGCTTCCAGCTGTAACTTGGAACAGTGTTTGCAAAGTGTTCTGAGTTACATCATTACCCCAGACCAAACAGAAGTTCATTGTTGGTTCCAGGGGGGAGGGGAATCTAGCTGTGGGCTGGGATCCTGTAGCCAGGTTCCCAAAGCAAGAAATATAGCTCTCTGCCAGTGCTCGCTGTTTTCAGAATGGAAGGGGGGAAAGGCAGCAGAGGGAGCTTGTTTTTTGGACTCCCCAGCTGGTGCTGAAGGGTGGGGTGGGTATATTGGAGCCCCCTTCCCACCTCAGGGAGGCTCCAATATACCGGCTCCACCCTCCCGGGGGTGGGGGATGGGGAAATGAAATCCCCCCACTGAACTCCTTCTGCTCCCTTTCCCCCCCTCCCATTCTGAAAACAGCAACACAAATTACAAAAGAGACTTCATTTTGAAACTTCTTTATCTGATCCCTCATGGAATGAGGGGTCAGTTTTTTACCTGATCATGTTGGCCATTTTTTAAGCTGTCTGCAGCCATGCACTTGTTTGGTCACAGCTATAAACAGCTTTCTGTGGCCAGGTTGAGTGAAAATTGTCACTTCTGTCTGTACCCTGAAAATTGTCTCTCCAAGTCAGCACCTGGTAGCTAAAAGGGTCTGTTCTTTTTAAGTGCAATTCATTGTGGTCTCATGAAATACACACATACTTATGTGTACTGTTATATTTTCTCTTAAATTTGTTAAAGCATTTCTGCTATCAGTATGAAAAATGTGAAAATTTTTCAAAGGGCCATCCTCAATAGCACCCAACCTAAAGCCATGAATAAAAACTGTTATTCAGACATTCCCTGAATATTGAAATTTCTCTTTGTCTGTTCTATGGCATCTAGCCTAGAGATGATTGGTGGATAGAATTTTTATTTGAAGGGGTGAGATTTGCTACTTGTGGCTATTGTTTGCTTCCAGAAGTAGTCAAGATGATCTCTGTTAAGAGAAGAAAGAGATGCATTTACAGATGGATCTTCCACAACCGTAGAAGCCCACAGTCTAGAACAGTGGTTCTCAACTGGGGTGATGAAAGATGCTTCAGGGATGCTGCAGTGCAGGTACCAACACTGCAGCCAAGTAAAACTGCCCTGCATGCCTGCCATACAGCCAGACTCTG